CTTACTTTTTCTTTTTTTTTTTTCTTTTTTTCAGACAGTGTCTCACTCTGTTGCCCAGGCTGGAGTGCAATGGCGCATTCTCAGCTCACTGCAACCTCCAACTCCCGGGTTCAAGCCATTTTCCTGCCTCAGCCTCCTGGGTAGCTGGGATTACAGGCGTACACCACCACAGTCAGCTAAGTTTTGTATTTTTAGTAGAGATGGGGTTTCACTATGTTGGCCAGGCTGGTCTCGAACTCCTGACCTCAGGTGATCCACCCGCCTCCACCTCCCAAAGTGCTGTGATGACAAGTGTAAGCCACCACACCCAGCCGGGTTTCTGTAGGGCAATGACCTCGAGACCTCCCCTGCACACTGAAACAAGCGGGACAGGGTCTTCCGAGTCCATGCTTATCTCTGCACGCTGTGCCCAAGCCCCACTCCACCCACCTGAGGATAGGACCTCTTTGCTCTCTGTGTTACCCTGGTCACAGCCAGAAGCCAGCGTGAGGCACCAGCCACTGTCTGAGGACACGTGAACCTGCACTTCCAGCTGGTCATCTGCCCACACCTTCCTGTAAGAAAATGGCACACAGATGCCCGTGCACCTGTGCACACACATGCACACACACAGGTGCCCACACACAGGTGCACACACGCACACCCCTGAGCCTTGCAGCCAGTCTGCACACGCAGGGACCCTGTGTTGCTGTCTCCACACTCCCGCCAGGCCCAAGCTCAGGGAAGGGCTGGGACGTGTGACTGCTGCTGGCCCCAGTTCTTTTTTAATATGTGAGGTGTCTGGACAACACAGAGCCCGATTTCATTAAAGATGCGACCAGGCCAGTCACGGCAGCTCACACCTGTAATCCGGGCACTTTGGGAGGTCAAGGCAAGAGGATTGCTTGAGCCCAGGAGTTTGAGACAAGCCTGGGCAACATAGCAAGACCCTGTCTCCACAAAAAATAAGTTCAGCCAGGCATGATGGCGGGCACCTGTGGTCTCGGCTACTCAAGAGGTTGAGGTAGGAGGATGGCTTGAGCCTGGGAGGTGGAGACTAAAGTGAGCCATGATCGTGCCACTGCACCCCAGCCTGGGCAACAGAGCAAGGCCCTGTCTCAAAAAATGTATATTTATTTTAAAAGAAGGCTGGTCGCGGTGGCTCACGCCTGTAGTCCCAGAACTTTCAGAGGCCGAGAAGCGTGGATCACCTGAGGTCAGGAGTTCGAGACCAACCTGACCAACATGATGAAACTCCATCTCTACTAAAAATACAAAAATGTAGCCGGGTGTGGTGGCGGACTCCTGTAAACCCAACTACTTGGGAGGCTGAGGCAGGAGAATCACTTGAACCAGGAGGCAGAGGCTGAAATGAGCCGAAATCATGCCACTTCACTCCAGCCCGGGTGACAGAGTGAGACTCCATCTCAAAAAAAATAAATAAAAAAAAATAAACAAAAATTAGCCTAGGAGTTCAAGGCTGCAGTGAGGTATGATCACACCATTTCACTCCAGCCTGGGCAACAAGAGTGAAGAAGTGGGGAGTGGAGGGGAGGGGAGGGGAGGGGAGAGGAGGGGAGGGGAGGGGAGGACCAGCAGAGCGGGTTTCAGCCTCCTCACCAGCTGAGATTCAGAATTGCTCGAAACTCCTGCAGAAGGTTACACCAGCTTTTCTCTGCCAGTCTCCACCCACATCCCAAACGTTCTCCAAGAAGTGGAGGAAGAAGCTGAGGGTGGGTGGCCGGTGTCCCCTAAAGCCGCTGGGGCAGAAGGCGGGCTGTTCTGCCCCCAGTCTTATCGGCTTTCATAGGAGGAATGCGTTTTGTTCAATCCTGGATAGAGAAGACATTGCCGTTTGCTGAGATCCGGGTGCACCTGACATAGAAGAGGACGTGGTGCTCTGTGAGGTCCTGAGCTTCGAGGTTTGGACGAGGACTGGTGGGTGCCATTAACAGGGGGCAGATTCAGCCGGGTGTAAGAGTGAAGTTGGTTATCCAGCCTGGCAGGGGCTGTGAGAGAGAGGGCCCCCCGCCATTCAAGGTGTGCAGGGGGAGGCAGAGCTAACCTACCAGGAAGGCACCTGGCGAGACCAGGGTCTCCCCAGCTCCACACTTCCTGGTCCAGTTCCTTTATTGTTCAAATTTTTTTTTTTTTTTTTTTTGAGACAGAGTCTAGCTCTGTCGCCCAGGCTGGAGTGCAGTGGCCAGATCTCAGCTCACTGCAAGCTCCGCCTCCCAGATTTACGCCATTCTCCTGCCTCAACCTCCTGAGTAGCTGGGACTGCAGGCTCCCACCACCACGCCCGGCTAGTTTTTTGTATTTTTTTTAGTAGAGATGGGGTTTCACCGTGTTAGCCAGGATGGTCTCGATCTCCTGACCTCGTGATCTGCCCATCTCGGCCACCCAAAGTGCTGGGATTACAGGTTTGAGCCACCGCGCCCGGCCTATTGTTCAAATTTAAAATATGTTTGTGGCCAGGTGCGGTGGCTCATGCCTGTAATCCTAGCACTTTGGAAGGCCGAGGAGGGCAGATCCCTTGAGGCCAGGAGCTCGAGACCAGCCTGACCAACATGGCGAAATCCCGTCTCTACTAAAAAGACAAAAATTAGCCGGGCATAGTGGTGTATGCCTATAGTCCCAGCTCCTCGGGGGAGAAGTGCTTGAACCCAGGAGGTGGAGGGTGCAGGGAGCTGAGAACTGAGATTGCACCACTACACTCCAGCCTGGGCGACAGAGCGAGGCTCTGCTTAAAAAAAAAAAAAAGTGTTTATTCAGGCTGCTCTGCCTATGGAGTAGCCATTCTTTGTTTCTTAACTTTCTTAATAAACTTGTTTTCACTTGTTTAAAAAAAAAAAATGTGTTTGTGGCCGGGTGCGGTGGCTCACACCTGTAATCCCACCACTTTGGGAGGCTGAGGCGGGCAGATCACTTGAGGTCAGAAGTTCGAGACCAGCCTGGCCAACATGATGAAATCTCATCTCTACTAAAAACACAAAAATTAGCTGGGTGTGGTGGTGGGCGCCTACAATCCCAGCTACTCGGGAGGCCGAGGCATGAGAATCACTTGAAGCTGGGAGGTGGAGGTTGCAGTGAGCCGAGATCCTGCCACTGCACTCCAGCCTGGGCGACAGAGCGAGACTACGTGTTCATTTCACAAGAGGGTGTCAGAGTATGGGGACCATAGCAAGAAGCTACCTTCAAGGGGGTATGGAAAATGACCTCTGACCCCCACGCTGACCCTAAATCCTCCATGCAGAGGACCAGGAAGGCAAGACAGAGGGTCACTGAGGGGGTCACCGAACAGGAGGTTTGGTGATGTAAGAGGAGGAGACTTTGGAGGAAGCCAGTGGCCGGGATGGTGGCAGCCCACACTCAATTCCCTGGGAAAACGCAGCACCAGCCTCAGTGGTCGCTGCTGTATGGGGTCTTCCTGCCTCCATCAGCTACCCCATGACCCACAGGCTCTCTGCAGCCCAGGCCCGCCAGTGTGCCTCAGTGTGCCTCTCACGCTGCTGGCCCCCGGGGGCCACTCTCCTCTGCCCTGCAGCCAGGACCTGCACCCCACAGCATGTCTGGGCTGGATTGCTGTGACCCAGGGGCTCCCCGTGGGCCAGAAGCCTCCAGGACCCCAAAAAATGTCTGTGTTTCTGGATCCTCTCAGCAGAATGACTCGAGGCTCTGTCTTACTGGACCCAGCGGCTGGGCAATGTTTCAGGCTAGGCTGCGTGGGACAGATCCACCAGGCAGGGATGCTGGAGCCAGAGCATTGGCGGTGGGTACTGGGACCACTCCAGTTTCCCACAGCGAAGTCAGGCTGTGAGGCCCGGGGCTGTAGCACTCACCACCCCACGGGGTCGATCTTGTACCAGAACTTTTTCTGTTCCATCATGTCCTTGGGCTCTGTCCCTTGGTGGGGGGATTCCTGGGTTAAAATGTTAGAAATGGTATCTCCAAGGTGCTCGGGACATCAGACAAAGCCCCACAGGCCCCAGCTGGAGCAGGGAGGTCCCTGGACATCTCATTCTCATGGCAGGTAAGGAACAGGAAGCCCGACATGGGCACACCCCAGCTCTGAGCCCTGAGGGACAGGCAGTGGCTCCGTCATTCACAGACACAGTTCAGGCACCGCCCTGTTGGCTGCCCGGGGTGGAACCACTTCCTGGGGCTGCAGCGGGTTAATGCCAGGCCACGCCCTGGGCTGGAGAGGTTTCTCCTCAGAGCCTGGGTTTTTCCTCTCTCCTCCCCTCTGCCAATCTGGCCAGCGCTCTGAGAGTCGCACAAGGCTCCCGTCCCCCAGACTGCGGCTGGTGCTCAGCTGTTTGTCCTTTTTTCCAACTCTCCGCTTTTCCCTGTCCACGGCCTGAGGTCTAAGGCAGCCCCGAGGCCCAGCCTGTGCTCTCCTTTCCAGCCCTGCTGCTGGCTCTTCTAGAGGCTGGGCTGGGACCCTGGAGACCTGGGGCTGGCTTGGACCCACCCAGGCTGTGCAGAGACGGACAGAGGCAAGGCCAGGGATAGATGCTAAAACAGCCAGCAATGCTCCCACGAAGTGCCCTGGGCAAAGCCAGGGCTGGGTTCCTACTGACTGTGGGCCCTCTCCGGGTCACCGCAGCCTGGTCTCCCTTTCCCCATCTGGAAATGAGACAGATCATCATGACAATTCCTTCTGGCTCAGCCCATGACTTCAAAGAGCCATCCATTAAACCCTGGTGTGCCCTTCAACACGTCTTTTCTCACATGCGCTGTCCTTCCCCACAAAGTCCTGTTTCCAGCCTCAGGCCACTTTCTCCTTAAAGGGTGACACCCGTGGACGGGTACTCAGGGAGCCTGGCGTGCAGGCTGAGGCAGGGATGAAAGGGGCCCATAGGGGCCTGGCATGGTGGCTCACGCTTATAATCCTAGCACTTCGGGAGGCCGAGGCAGCCAGATCACGAGGTCAGGAGTTTGAGACCAGCCTGGCCAACATGGGAAAACCCTGTCCCTACTAAAAATACAAAAAATTAGCCAGATATGATGGCACACACCTGTAACCCCAGATATTCGGGAGGCTGAAGCAGGAGAATCACTTGAACCCGGGAGGCGTAGGTTGCAGTGAGCCTGGGCGACACAGTGAGATTCCGCCTCGAAAAGGAAAAAGAAAGGGGCTCGTAGGAATGGGGAAACTGAAGGAACCGTGGCCCTCTCACCAAGAGACAAGCACCCTTTTCTCAAATGTCCTGGGGGTCAGGGTTGGCTGGAGGAGAAATATCCCACAGGAGCTGATTTCTGAAGACACAAAATACCCACCCAGAGCCAGGCCTCAACCTCCCAGGGCAAGGGTGGCCCTGCCCACCCTGCGTCCACTCACCAGGACGCCCTGCCTGGTCCCCTTCCCAAAGCACCATTGGGGGGCTCTGGACTCCGGGAGAAGCTTCTGGAATGTCTGAGAACCAAACCAGTTTTCAATCAAACCTTTTAGAAGCCCAGACCACTTTCAGAGCCGGCCCCTTTTGAAACCCGACACGTCGAAATCCACTTTGCAAATCTGTGTCCCAACATTTTGAAACCAAAATTTCCTGGAAACCTACTGGAAGGGAAGACACGCTGGAAGAGAACCAGTCGGAACGGCAAAAACCGTTTCATCCAGATTGTTTTTTGAGTCCCCGGTTTTTTTTTTTTTTTTTTTTCCTGCAAACTGCTTTGAAATAAAAGCAGCTTCATCAAAGCCAGAGTTCCCACTATAATTTTTCTGGGAAGAACCTCAGATGATTGAATCAGGTTCGCAGAACTTGCTTGCTCTATGAGGACACACCAACTGTGAAGGAGCCTGGGGGAAGTGGGGGATTTTCGCTTTGCAGCCTCCCGCAGACTCTCCACCCAGCCATCTCCCAATGCCGTCGTCCTTGAGTGCCTGTAGGCGGAAAAACCCATTCCAGAACCATGCCTCAGAATCTCTCCGTCTTGGCCTGGCCCACAGTTTCCGAGCCTAACAGTTTCTTTCTGGCCTCTGAATGGGCTCTTTCAGCCTTGGTGCTGGCTGAGGCCAATGCCACAGAGTGAAGGACCCCAGTGAGCCCAGGAACAAGGCAGGCCAGGAGGGGACAGCTCAGAGGTTGGCACTTTGTTTTTTGTTTTTGAGACAGAGTCTCACTCTGTTGCCCAGGTTGGAGTGCAATGGCGCCATCTTGCAACCTGCAACCTCTGCCTCCCAGGCTCAAGTGATTCTCGTGCCTCAGCCTCCCGAGTAGCTGGGATTACAGGTGCCCACCACCATGCCCAGCTAACTTTTGTATTTTTAATAGACATGGAGTTTCACCATGTTGGCCAGGCTAGTGCCAAACTCACGACCTCAGGTGATCCGCCTGCCTCGGCCTCCCAAAGTGCTGAGATTACAGCCATGAGCCACCGTGCCTGGCCGGTGTCATTTTCTTTAAAAGGCACCATCTATGACTTGAGGGAGAAGCGATGAGCCCACCGGTGGACCCTCCGGAAACTACCCTGGCCTGGAGTTTGAGAATGGTGTCTCCCTCAGCATACCTGCCTGTCCGCTAGAGACCCAGCGGGAGGGAAGCAGCTCTGTCTTCATTCCTGTGCTTGTGTGTGGATTCAAGGAGGCAAACTCAGCTGCAGAGTCCCGACTGTGTGCTACCTGCCCACGCCATTTGTAAGAATTTTAAGGATTTTTGGTAATAATAAGAATTGAAATTCAATTCCTCCAAAATTTAAAGATAAATTACCACATGACCCTACACTCCTACTCCTAGGCATATACTCCAGAGCCATGGTCCCCAACCTTTTTGGCACCAGGGACTGGTTTCACCTGTGATCCCAGCACTTTGGGAGGCCGAGGCGGGTGGATCACCTGAGGTCAGGAGTGAGACCAGCCTGGCCAACATGGTGAAACTGCGCCTCTACTAAAAATACAAAAATTGCCGGGCGCAGTGGCTCACACCTGTAATCCCAGCACTTTGGGAGGCTGAGGCGGGCGGATCACGAGGTCAGGAGATCGAGACCATCCTGGCTAACACGGTGAAACCCTGTCTCTACTAAATATACAAAAAAAAATTAGCCGGGCATGGTGGTGCGTGCCTGTAGTCCCAGCTACTCGGAGGCTGAGGCAGGAGAATGGCGTGAACCCAGGAGGCGGAGCTTGCAGTGAGCCGAGATGGTGCCACTGCACTCCAGCCTGGGCGACAAAGCGAGACTCCATCTCAAAAAAAAAAAAAAAATATATATATATATATATACACACACACACACACACACACAAAAATTAGCTGGGCGCAGTGGTGCACGCCTATAATTCCAGCTACTTGGGAGGCTGAGGCACAAGAATGGCTTAAACCCAGGAGATGGAGGTTGCAGTGAGCCGAGATTGCACCACTGCACTCCAGCCTGGGTGACAGCGAGACTCCACCTCAAAAAAAATAATAATAATAAACAAATAAACAAAAAAAATTAGCTGGGCATGGTGGCGGGCGCCTGTAATCCCAGCTACTTGGGAGGCTGAGGCAGGAGAATCATTTGAACCCAGGAATCAGGGGTTGCAGTGAGCCAAGATCGTGCCACTGCACTCCAGCTTGGGTGAAAGAGCGAGACTGTCTGGAAAGAAAGAAAAACAAACTGTTCCACTTCAGATCATCAGGCATTAGACTGTCATATGGAGAACCCTGGTGTGCAGTGTTCACAGTAGGGTTCCTGCTCCTATGAGAATCTAATGCCACCGCAGATCTGACGGGAGGCGGGGCTCAGGCAGGAACGCTCGCTCGCCTGCCGCTCGCCTGCCGCTCGCCTGCCGCTCGCCTCCTGCCGAGCAGCCCCGTTCCTAAGGGGCCACAGGCCAGTATCAGTCCATCACCCGGGGGTTGAGGACCCTGCCCCAGAGAATTAAAAGCAGGGACTCGGCTGGGGGTGGCGGCTCACGCCTGTAATCCCAACACTTTGGGAGGCCGAGGCGGGTGGATCACAAGGTCAGGAGATCGAGACCATCCTGGCTAACACGGTGAAACCCTGTCTCTACCAAAAATACAAAAAAATTAGCCGGGCGAGGTGGCGGGCACCTGTAGTCCCACCTACTGGGGAGGCTGAGGCAGGAGAATGGCCTGAACCCGGGAGGCGGAGCTTGCAGTGAGCTGAGGTCGCATCACTGCACTCCAGCCCGGGCGACAGAGTGAGACTCCGTCTCAAAAAAAAAAAAGCAGGGACTCGAACAGGTATCTGCACACCGGCATTCACAGCAGCGCTATTCACAAGAGCCGAGAGATGGAAGCCACCCAGGTGTCTGTGTGTGGGTGAATGGATGAAATGTGGTCTGTCCATCCAATGGGGTATCGTTCAACCTTAAAAAGGAAGGTGACTCTGACTACAACGTGAGTGAACCTTGAAGACATTACACTGCATGGAAGAAGCCAGACACAAAAGGACAAATATTGTACAGATCCACTCACGGGAGGTCCCTAGTCAAATCCAGAGACAGGAAGTAGAATGGTTGGTGCCAGGGGTAGTGGGTGGGGTAGTGGGGAATGGGGAGCTAGTGTTTTAACGGGGACAGAGTTTCAGTTTTGCTAAGAGGAGAGAATTCTGGAAATGGATGGTGGTAATGGTGGCAGGCAACCTGAATGTGCTTAATGTCACTGAACTGTTCACTTAAAAATGGTGAAGAGGGTACATTTTATGTTGCATATATTTTAACCACAACTTTTAAAAGAATTGAAATTAACATCAATTAAAACCATTACCACCACCGCAATTCACCCAAGAAAACAGACTTAGAAGGTTAACCTTTTTTTTTTTCTTATGAGAAACCTACTCTCCTAAACAGGATGGCCTTCTAATGATAAAATACAACACCTTTTTTTTTTTTTTTTTAAAGACAGGATCTTGCTCTATCACCCAGGCTGGAATACAGTGGTGCAATCATGCCTCACAGCAGCCTTGACCTCCCAGGCTCAAGCAATCCTCCCACCTCGGCCTCCCAAGTAGCCGGGATTACAGGTGCCTACCGCCATGCACAGCTTTTTCTTTTAGCTTTTGTAGAGACCAGGTCCCACTATGTTGCCCAGGCTGGTCTTGAACTTCTGGGCTCAAGCAATACTCCTGCCTTGGGCCCCCAGAATGGTGGGATTATAGGCATAAGCCGCCTCCCACAGCCATATTCTTATCATTATTATTTAAACGAGTGAAGAAAGCATTTGCAAGGTTCCTATTCCAAATTTGCCTACAAGATGAACTCCAGCCCAGGGGCAGGAGACAGGCTGGAAGGCCGCTCCTCCCTGGGCCCCTGGGTCTGGGGTGAGCAGGTAGCAGCTCTGCTGTCTCCCTCCCCCATCCAGGCGGGCCTGGATGCCACCCTGACATCACAGGCCACATAGGGCTCCACACATTCCTCCCTCTCGCTCTGGTCTTCCCTCGGGCCCCGTGGGAATTCTCGAGTCAAGCCCAGCCGCCCCTGCTGACCCAGGGCAAGGCTCTCACGGAGCATGAGGCCGGCACGCTCTGAACCTCTTGAAACATTATAAGCAGAATATTGCCCCAGAGCCCGAGAGGCGCAGCCGTGTCTCTGCTAAGCAAGGATGGTGCTTAGAGAAGGAAAAGACAGGGCCTGGCCTTTTTTATTCTGGGATTTCGAAGTGCATTTAGACACACTAACTTATTACCATTCACGAGGTGGCAACTTCACACGGCCGGAGAAATGACGGCATAAGAAGTATCGTTGACTCCCAACCCCAAGACAAATCCAGAATGACACAGGATTGTGCAACCTCCAGACCTTTGTTCAAACAGCTTATTCTACCAGATAAACCTGAGCGGCGGCGTTCTTCCTGGCAGTTTCTCTTAAGTGTGAAGGTGAAATCCTATCTAAAATAGAAGGTGACTACAGGTATAAAACGCCACCTCCCAAATCAGCTTGCAGACCCTCCACTGTGGGTACCTCGGGCTGGCCCTACAGACCCACTCTGTCTTCTCTTCAGTGGCCCATCCCGCTCCTACTCACACCCAAGCCTCATCCGGGGTGCCCAGCTCCCATCATCCCAGGAAAGTCCGGGGCCCTCTGCCTTTCACTGAGTTCAGATCAAACACTACCCCAAAGAGCTGAGCTAGAATTTTCAAATCCAATTCTCCAAACACACACTCTTGTATGCAAGCACAGACACATTTGCATGCACACTTGCATACACATACTCCGTCAGCTTCTAGCCAGCACTTCAAACCACCAAACTGTAAATGCAAAAACACCCAGGTAGGCTGTGTTCATTTATCACTGTCAAAGTCAACCAACAGATCCTCATCAGGTAAGTGTGACGGGACCGTTACAGTGAGCAAATGCTCTCCAGATGGCACCACGACAGCCACGGGAGTCATTTCAGGCATGCCTGCGGAATGGTGCCTTGGCTCAGATCAGCAGCGCCCGCGGACAGACACGGAGAAGCCTTCAAACCAGGTGTCCTTTCCTCATTAACCTCCCCGTCAGAGATGCACTGAGAAATTACTCCTGCCAGGTGCGGTGGCTCACGCCTGTAATCCCAGCACTTTGGGAGGCTGAGGCAGAAGGAGCGCTTGAGCTCAGGAGTTTGAGGCAGCCTGGGTGACATAGCAAGACCCCGTCTCTACCAAAAATTTAAAAATTAGCCGGGCATGGTGGTGCCTGCCTGTAGTCCCAGCTACTTGGGAGGCTGAGGTGGGAGGATCACTTGAGCCCAGGAGGTCGAGGCTGCAGTGAGCTATGCTCATACCACTGCACTCCAGCCTGGATGACAGAAAGAAACCCTGTCAAAAAAAAAAAAAGAAGAAATTATTTCCAAAGGGAAAAAAAATCACACATTCTCCAATTAATCTCTGCTGGTGAAACGGTATCCCAACAGCAGAGCCTCATCTATCCCTGGGCCCTGGCAGAGTAAGAACATGTTTCTAGGCCGGGCACGGTGGCTCAAGCCTGGAATCCCAGCACTTTGGGAGGCCGAGGCGGGCGGATCACGAGGTCAGGAGATCGAGACCATCCTGGCTAACCCAGTGAAACCCCGTCTCTACTAAAATACAAAAAAATTAGCTGGGCGTGGTGGCGGGCACCTGTAGTCCCAGCTACTCGGGAGGCTGAGGCAGGAGAATGGCGTGAACCCGGGAGGCGGAGTTTGCAGTGAGCCGAGATCGCGCCACTGCACTCCAGCCTGGGCGACAGAGTGAGACTCCTTCTCA